TATATTCATTGGGAAATAATAAACAGAGATTGATTCCATCATATAGGAACATGAGAGGAGGTGATTGATATAAATACTAGTATCTGTATCTATGTCTGCATATCCATATACTGGAAAGAGCAATGTTTAATTAATTTCCTTCAATTTTCAACAAATATTAGTAATTTCTATTGCTAAAGCTAATATACTATGAAGAAAGATTATCTTTTGTTTCACTTTCAAGTCTTCTGAGTTTATATGCTATTGGTTTAAATCTTTTATCCTGTCGCTTCTTTTTTAAACTGGGATGACGTAGTTCTTTTTAAAAAAAAAAAGATTTATTTATTTGTTTGTTTGTTTATTTATTTATTTATGCATACAAGAACTGGGGTATAAGCCCAGGTGATGAGAAGATTCACCAGAGAGAGTGGGGAGCAGAACAGGCAGATGTACTGAAATATGCTGCTGAGGGGAGCAGCAAATGAGACAGGAGAGGTCTGCTGTGCCATGTGGGTATCTCCCTGGCTGGCTGGGGATTGAACTCGTGCTACGGAGGCTGCGGATAGCTTCATAGTGGTGTGCTTAACCCCTTGCGCCACCAGGGAGGCCCCAAATTTTCAATTCTTAAGATACCAAGTAAATTTTAAAACTCATTTAACAGCATGCAACATTTACTGAGTGCCTACTATGTGCCAGATCCTATAAGAAGTGCTAGTTGTACAATAATAAGGAAAGCCAACACAGCACATGATTTCCTGGAGCTTACAATCATGTGAGTTGCTCCCTGGCCGGCTGGGGGTCAAACACATGCTGTAGTGGCCGGCAGTATCTTGACAGGGCTGTCTCTAACCCCTGCACCACCAGGGAGAACCCTAAGTCACTTTAATTCAGCATAGGAAATGAATGGAATATGCATTTTACTAGCAATGACATATTAGAAAAATATTAGTTACAGTGCTAGATATTCGAAAACAAGTGTTCTTGCTTTAAGATGTCTGTTCTCTTGATAACTGAAAGCATAAGAAAATATTAATCAAAATAGGTGCTCCCCCAAATTGAACTAGCATATTCCCTAGCTGACAATCAGAAAAGCAAGAATGTTAATAATAGAAGCATAATGACTCTTAGTTAAACTACTAGTTTGACTTCCAGTTAAAAGTGAATATAGGGCCTCCCCGGTGGCGCAGTGGTTGAGCGCTGGGTTGCGAAGCTGCCCGCGGCCTCTGCGGCACCGGTTCAATCCCCGGCTGCTCCCTGGCCACCGGAGGAGGGTCCCACATGGTGCGCAGACCTCTCCTGCTGCCCGCTGCTCCCCTCAGCAGTGTACTTCGGTCCTTCTGCCTGCTCTGCTCCCGGGGGCACCGGTTCAATCCCCGGCTGCTCCCCGGCCACCGGAGGAGGGTCCCACATGGTGCGCAGACCTCTCCTGCTGCCCGCTGCTCCCCTCAGCAGTGTACTTCGGTCCTTCTGCCTGCTCTGCTCCCGGCTCTGGCCCTGGTGAATTCTCTCACCCTCCCGTGCTTCTGACTGTACCCAGTGCATGTATAAACAAACAAACAAACAAACAAATAAATAATACATGCCTCTTTTAAAAAATAATTAATTAAAAAAAGTGAATATAGATTTTCAGTAAATATTTTTAATTAAGGTGCTTGTTAATTTGTCTTCTTTATGGGCTATGTACACAAGAGCTTTCTGATTTTCATAATTACAAAATATGCTGAAAGAAAATTAATTTTGATAGCAAATGGCTCCAGTCATTTAGTTATTATTCCTTTTTTTAAAGATTTATTTAATTATGCATACAAGAACTGGGGTACAGGCCAGAGATGAGGGAGTGAGAGGAGTCACCAGAGATGGAGTAGAGAACAGAACAGCCAGACTGACTGAAATACTCTGCTGAGGGGAGCAACAGGGGAGGCAGGAGAGGTCTGCTGCGCCGTGTAGGTTAGCTCCCTGGCCGGGGATCGAACTCGTGCTGCAGAGGCTGCGGATAGCTTCATAGGTTGCGTCTTAACTCCTTGCACCACCAGGGAGGCTCTAGTAATTATTCTTTTATCTCATACCTTTCCAGCACTGTTCTTTACTCCACTCACTCCAAATTCCATCATCTGAGCAATAAATATTCACTTTGCTTCTTACTAAAAAGCATAATTGCTGGCTTTCTTTTGATGTTCTTGTGATATACATTTCATTCGCAATTGTGGTAGTAGTCTGAAAGCCAAGCAAAAAATATAAAGTCATTACTTGATGTAACTGCAATTAGAGTCCCATTTTATTTTTCCTTTCAAAGTGGGTTTTGTTGCCTAAAACATACACATTGAATGACTGGAAGAAAGGGGTATACCAAAATCATAACAGTGATCTCTTTGAATGGTGGGTTTATATTGTTTTTTTTTTTTTTTTTTTTTCAAATTTTTCTTCCTTTCCTTACCTATATTTTAATTTTTTTTCTAAAGTGATAATGGTTCAACCTGCAATAAAGGGCATGTGTGACAGGGCAAAAATTCTAGTTAGCTTTGATGTCTATGACACTGTATTTGGATTAACTTCTAATTTCCCAGATTCCATAAAGTGGGGTGTTACAGTACACTGAGTTAGCAATAAAAAAATTATCACACAAATGTTGTTTCTATGGAAACTATGAATTCATATACCTAAAGCAACTTTCCCCTATTCTTAGTTTAACCACCACAAAATTTGTGCTCAGGACCTGACATGCAACTATCCTCAGATTGGAGAATATCACAAAGCTAGATGATGGGGAGAAAAAAAAAGAAAACCACTAAAGTAATTACTTAAATTTTGTCTATGTCAAAGATCTGAAGAGAGGTTTTCTTTGTTGCAATTCTTATTGGGAATGAGCATAATGTGAAGGTTGAAGAGACTGGGCATAAGATCTGGTTTTTAGTTCTAGCATGTAATTTGATTTTAAGTCAATTCACTTTCTCAGGACTAGTAAAATCAATTCAGCTAGCAGTTTTCTCATCCACATATGAAATAAAATTGATCAAAATTAATGGCTAACTTACTTGTCTCCACCACTCTCTAAATTGGAAACCAATGAGTAAAATTAACATATAACTATGTGAAGCTAAAAGCATCACCGAGTTGTTGATGCCTGGGGACCAACATTAATTACTTGTGCAACTATTGGCTACTCCCCGTCTTAGCTTCTTTCCCCTGTAACAAGTAATTCTCCTGTAGCCCTGCCAGACATTAATTTTAACGTGATGGTTATTCCTCAAAAAGTGGTTTTTATGTTTGTGGGTTTTTGTTTTCTTTTCACTTGTGGCCTCTTCACAATCCATTTTATGTATTCACTTGACAACTTCATTTTTTTGTTGTTTTTTTTTGAAGACTTATTTATTTATTTATACAAGAACCGGGGTACAGGCCAGATTCGCGGGAGGGTGAGAGGATTCACCAGAGACAGAGTGGGGAACGGAACAGGCAGACTGATGAAACACACTGCTGAGGGGAGCAGCAGGGAGACAAGGAGAGGTCTGCCGCACCATGTGGGACCCTCCCCGGCCAGCCAGGATCCAACCAGTGCTGCAGAGGCTGCAGAGAGCTTCACAGCGCGTCGCTCAACTGCCCTCACTTGAACAAGTGAGGGAAGGCCCTCACTTGGCAACTTTATTGACATAAAATTGGAAACAAATGAGTAGATCATGTCTAAGGTCCTATGTAGCTTTAAAATTAGTATGATTACTTATGTTTCCAAATTACAAACATCTTTCTTTTATCTACGAGATTATTTAGTCTTTTAGAAATTAAACTAAGGTGGGCCTCCCTGGTGGCGCAGCGGTTGAGCGCTGGGTTGCGAAGCTGCCCGCGGCCTCTGCGGCGCTGGTTCGATCCCTGGCTGCTCCCTGGCCACCGGAGGAGGGTCCCACATGGCGCGCAGACCTCTCCTGCCGCCCGCTGCTCCCCTCAGCAGTGTCCTTCGGTCCTTCTGCCTGCTCTGCTCCCCGCTCTGTCTCTGGTGAATTCTCTCACCCTCCCGTGCTTCTGACTGTACCCAGTGCATGTATAAACAAAACAAACAAACAAACAAATAAATAAATAAAAAACATGCCTCTATTTAAAAAAAAAAAAAAGAAATTAAACTAAGGTAACAGAGTATGCTCTAATCTTTACGTGGATAGTAACTGATTTTTGGTTCTCATGTTGACCATTTTATTTAAAAGCTTGTGTTTATAGCTTTCCCTAATAAATACAATGTTCATACCACGCAGGTAGTATCATCTTCTGTGAGTTGAATTTCATAAATAAAACACTTGGCTGGAATGGGGCCTCTGGGCAAGTCCCATCTCAAGATTATCTCCTCTGAATTCTTCACAGTTAAACTAAGGTAGTCTGGTGGCAAAGGTTTAACTGAAAAGCAAAAAGAAACCATTTAAACATGGAGATTGTTGAAGTTCAGCAGTAGCCCTTATGACAAGCTGGGGCCACCTAATAACAGAAGCCTTCAGGGATAAATTAGGTGGCTCAAGATGGTTCTCTATACTGTGAATTAAAATCAAATTTGCTTCCTGATCAAAATAGTTTGCTGAGAAAGTTATTTTGGAAACTAATTGCCTAATGTCACATATCTATCAATAGTTAAGTCCAAGAGAAAAGTTAGAAGGTTCAAATCATTGCAGTCATTTTCCCACTTTATAGAAACAGAAACAACTACCTCAACAAATGTTCCCACTATTTTTATTAATAGTTAATTCTTATTTAGAGGTTTTGATGTGACAGGCAAGGAATCAGGGATGTTACATAAAATTCATTCATGTTTCACAGTAAACCTAAGAGGTAGGCCTCTATTCTTATTTTATTGATGAGTAAATTGAAACATGTTTTGTAGCTTGTCCAAAGTCAGACATAAAGTGGTAAATCTGGAATGACTGATTTGTCATTCTCATAATTGTTAGAACTGAAAAAAAAACAGATTCAGAAAACATCCAACCATTTGCTAATTAAGCCTTGGGAATGAGTGATTCCATAACTGCTCCATCATTAACACTAGAAAAAAAAATACTACAAAGGAGCAAAATTTCTTTACAGCTGGGTAATTAATTTCAAGTTCTAAGTGAAAAGTACAACTTATCCCTCATTTTTCTGGCTTTACATTTCAATGACTCCTTTCCCCACATCCTCCCACCCCCAACATGCGTGTGTGTGTGTATGAGAGAGATGTAGTTATGTATATATGTCTATATATTTCCATGTGGTTATAAATGGCCTAAAATAGAATGTTTATGGGTTGTTTGCCTCACCTATATTTTGAAGCTGAAAAACAAAATAGCTGGATCTAATAGGCTTGGATTCTGATGATCCATTAACACAGATGTAGAAATCTTTATAGTCTGATGACTCCAAATAGGGAAATCTACATCCAATATTTATTTTATTATCCTTGGTATAATCAGAACATTCTAACGCATGGTCCAAGCCCTCATACCTGTAAAAAAAAAAAGTGTTATTAAGAATTGTTTTACCAATATTTTCTAGTATCACGGCACTCAAATTTTCAATTCTTTTTTTTTTAAGATTTACTTATGCATACAAGAACTGGGGTACAGGCCAGAGGTTTGGGAGGTGAGAGGATTCACCAGAGACAGAGTGGGGAAGAGAACAGGAAGATTTGCTGGAATACACTGCTGAGGGGAGCATCAAATGAGACAGGAGAGGTCTGCTGTGCCATGTGGGTATCTCCCTGGCTGCCTGGGGATTGAACTCGTGCTATGGAGGCTGTGGATAGCTTCATAGTGGTGTGCTTAACCCCTTGCGCCACCAGGGAGGCCCCAAATTTTCAATTCTTAAGATACCAAGTAAATTTTAAAAATCATTTAACAGCATGCAACATTTACTGAGTGCCTACTATGTGCCAGATCCTATAAGAAGTGCTAGTTGTACAATAATAAGGAAAGCCAACACAGCACATGATTTCCTGGAGCTTACAATCAGGTGGGAGTCTTTACAAAATCTCAAAAATAAGGTAAGGATTCCAACACAAGGCAAGGGTTTTTACTCAGGTTTTTAGGTTATACTGATTTTGTGAATCACAGAATTTGTGAATCAAAAGCTAAGATTCCTATTAAGAAAACCTGGATTTTATATAGATAACCCTGCATGGTACTGCCTTCTTGATAGTGTACTGGGCAATTTATTTTATAAGGAAGCAGATTTTATTTATTTTTTTAAAGATTTATTTATTCATGCATACAAAAACTGGGGTACAGGCCAAATGCACAGGAGGGTGAGAGGAGACAGAGGAGACAGAGCAGGGAGCAGAACAGGCAGAATGACTGAAATACACTGCTGAGGGGAGCAGCGGGAGAGGCAGGAGAGGTCTGCCGCATCATAGGGGTTTCTCCCTGGTGGGCCAGGAATTGAACCCATGCTGCAGAGGCTGTGGACAGCTTCACAGGGCTGTGCTCCACCGCCTGCACCACCAGGGTCTCCCCTGGTTGAGCGCTGGGCTGTGAAGCTGCCCGCAGCCTCTGCAGCGCCAGTTCGATCCCCGGCCCCAGGCGAGGGCCCCACATGGCGTGCAGACCTCTCCTGCCATGCCCGCTGCTCCCCTCAGCAGTGTATTTCATCAGTCTGCCTGTTCTGTTCCCCGCTCTGGCTCTGGTGAATTATCTTACCCTACCATGTTTCTGACTGTACCCAGTGCTTGTATAAATAAATAAATAAATCTTTAAAAAATAAAAATAAAAAATTCTCTAAATTTACAATATACACCAACATATAAACCTCAGAAAAGCCCAACAGAGGATCAAACAGAAAAATAAGAGTCATTTGCAAAGTACATATCTAATTTTCCCATTCTCTTAGACAAGAATTTGGCTGTAGCATTGAAAATTAATCTCCTTCCAGTAATAAAGCTAGTAGGAATTAGGGGGGATTTCCCTACCAATTTCCAAAGTAACAAATGCCTGGTTCATTTTCTTAAAAAAATAGTTTGCAATACAAACTATGACATTATCTGTTGAAGTATTCAAAACCATTTTTGAAATGAGGCCAATCTAGCAGCTGATCAAGTGCTGATGAAAATATTCAGACACTACTGAATTCACTTTATGCCATGTGTTTAAATTACAGAGTTTGCAAAATTTTAGTTTCTTAGTTAGTTCACCTAATTGCCTAATTGGTGGATTTGAATACTAGCCTTGACTTTACACAGATTTACTTGTGACAGTGGAAAACTTCAGGTTGCCTTTATTTTCCAGTTTCTAAAATGTTAACATTTACCCCCACTACTTTACAAAGATGAGGACGAAGTTATGTTAAACATGAACTACAATGTATGAAAGGGAAGGGACTTTGTCTTATTCACATTTTTGTCCTTTTTATATAGAACAGTGCCTGGTATTTCAAAGATACTTAAGGGCCTCCCCTGTGGCACAGCGGTTCAGCGCTGGGTTGCGAAGCTGCCCGCAGCCTCTGCAGCACCGGTTCAATCCCTGGCTGCTGCGCGAGGGTCCCACAGGGCACGCAGATCTCTCCTGCCATCCGCTGCTCCCCTCAGCAGTGTACTTTGTCAGTCTGCCTGTTCTGTTCCCCACTCTGGCTCTGGTGATTTCTCTCACCCTCCCGCGCTTCTAACTGTACCCAGTGCTTGTATAAATAAATAAAATAAATCTTTAAATATATATATATTATAAAAAAAGATACTTAATATTTTTGAATTAATGAACAGTGAGTTAGATATTAACAAGTGATGCACCCAATTCCAGGTAAGAAAATTGAGACCACAAAAGGGTACATTGTTTAGCCAAGACCATCACATTAAGCAACGACAGAGTAGAGATTAGAACCCAGTTCTCAACATTGATAACAGTCTATAACTTGCCACTTTCATATAAACTTTACTAAGGGAAAATGCCATCATAATCTGGGCCTGAAACTCAGTCACAAAGAGTAACTCTTTGTCCTCTCTCCCTTTTTTTGTTATCTAATAAATGTAGACGTTTTGAGACTTATCTGTCAGTTTGTTAGGGGGAAAGGATGTCCTGAGCTAATCCCATACAGGCTTTGTGGACTCCAACCCCACTCCAGACCAAAGGCATCAGGACACTGGGAAAGACAAATCCTGTCACCACCAAAGGGAAGGTGGCAGGGACCTAGGGTGGAGTTAAGCAGCCAGGGTTGGTATAAAAAACCAAACACGTGGCCTTGAAGGGGCTCGTTCTCTCTCTCTCTCTCTCTCTCTCTCTCTCTCTCTCTCTCTCTCTCTCTCTCTCTCGCTCGCCTCCTGGCTTCTCGGCTCCTGGCTCGCGGCCAGATCTCAGGGTGCCATTTGGGATTCCAGATCAGCGGATCAGGTAGGACGCCTTTAAAACTTTCTCTCCCACTTTTCTCCCTGAGTTGTACGTTTCCTCATTTCCCCTTCCCTTGTAAATAAACCTTTTATTAACCTTTCACGTGTGCCTGCAGTAGAGTATTGATAAATCCTTTTAAACGCGCGGGTGAGGACCCACAGTCAGGCACCCCATTTTATATCAGGGCTGCCCTACAACAGTTTACCAATGCTATCATCATTTAATGAATATTTACTGATAAATCTACTATGGGCATAGCACAGCAGAGGTAGTCAAAGAAATATAAATTGCTCATGCCTATCAATCTCTTAAAATTTTAAGAGGGGAGACAAAGTATGTATAGATGAGAAAAATTTGAATACTATCTGGGTAATAAGTGATTAAGAAATATAATAGATGAAAAATATAATCAGGAAAAAACTGAACAGAAGATGATGAAATAAGTTAAAAGGTTAATGAAACTGAATATCAGCTGGGCTTAGAAGCGTGGATAACAATTGGCAAAAGGGCAAGCCAGGGTGCATTTTAGATAGCAATGCACACAAAGGTATAAAAGATCATAACATGATGTAAAACACATATATAAAAATAATAATAATGATAATAATATTTTTAAAAAATAAAATAAAAAAGGGCCTCCCTGGTGGCGAAGTGGTTGAGCGTTGGGTTGCAGGGCTGCCCGCAGCCTCTGCAGCGCCGGTTCGATCCCCGGCCTCCGGGCAAGGGTCCCACATGGCACGCAGACCTCTCCTACTGCCCACTGCTCCCCTCAGCAGTGTACTTCGTCAGTCTGCCTGCTCTGCTCTCCGCTCTGGCTCTGGTGAATTCTCTCACCCTCCCGCGCTTCTGACTATACCCAGTGCTTGTATAAATAAATAAAAATAAATCTTAAAAAAAATAAAATAAAAAATACACTAATGAGAAAAAATATAGAAATGGTTCTAAATGCAGAAGGACAAGCACACTGGTGACAGTATGGTTGGGCCTGAACCAGGAATATGAGCCCTGCCTTAGAAGCCACTGTACTACATTTCTCAGGGTCATGATGATGGGTTGCCTAATGGTTAATGAGATATTTCTGTTCTTTCCAAGGATGCGATAACATCAGTGCCTGTTGAGGCCTCCATGGTGGCACAAGGAGTTAAGCATCAGGACTATGAAAGCAATCCGCAGCTACTGCAGCATGAGTTCAATTCCAGCCAAGGAGCTGACCTACATGGCACAGCAGACCTCTCCTGTCTTGCCTGCTGCTCCCCTCAGCAGTGTATTTCAGTCTATCTGCCTGTTCTGCTCTCCACTCTGTTTCTGGTGAATCCTCTCATCCTCCCACCTTTGGCCTGTACCCCAGCACTTGCATGCATAAATAAATAAGTCTTTAAAAAAAATCAGTGCCTCATATTAAAAAAACTAGCAACAACAAATGTTGGCGAGGTTGTGGAGAAAAAGGAACTCTTCTACACTGTTGGTGGGAGTGCAAACTGGTCCAACCACTATGGAGAGCTGTGTGGAGATTTCTGGACCTACTAAACATAGAGCTTCCATATGATCCAGCAATTCCACTCCTAGGTATTTACCCAAAGGACACAGAAACATCAATCCCAAAGAGCACCTGCACCCCTATGTTTATAGCAGCACTGTTTACAATAGCTAAGCTTTGGAAACAACCCAAATGCCCAAAAATAGATGACTGGATCAAGAAGATGTGGTACATATACACCATGGAATATTACTCAGCATTCAAAAAAGATAAACACATGCAATTTGCAGCAACATGGATGGCGCTGGAAGGGATCATGCTCAGCGAAATAAGCCAAAAAGAAAAAGAAAAATACCAGATGGTCTCACTCATAGCAGGAATCTAGAAAACTTAAATAAGGGACCAGGAAAAAGAATAACTATAAGAAAGTGAAAATCAAAATCAACAAAAAACTATGAACCAGAGACACTTTTTGGGGGGTGGGGGGCGGGAGGGGAGGGATTGGGGTCAGAATGGGGGGGGTTGCAATTGTATGGGGGAATATAAAAATAAAATTTATTATTTAAAAAAAAAAATCAGTGCCTGATGAACACTTGAGGGTCATTTTATATCATCAATAGTCTTGAGTCCAGCACCCTGGTTCTGAAGGCGAAGAAATTCTTCACTCTTGCATGTTCCCACATTCCTTTCTTTCCTATATAATCTTCCTTCACTTACCACTTGGGGAGGCAGTCTTTTCTGACTACTGACTTTGCTGTTCTCTCAGTGTGGTGCCACTTGCTGATAAAATGCTTCCATTGTGGAACAAGCCCATGGTTCAGAGTTTGGTTGTCTGAGTGTGAGCAATACAACCCAGTTTGGTCAGTAACAAGAGTAGAAGGTAATGTTGAGAAGGCAGTAATACAGTGAGGCAGAGTGTTGAATGCCAACCTAGATTTTCTGCAGGAAACAATGAGTAGGCACAGAAGGCTTTTGACAAAAAGAGTGACACATGAAAACAACGGTATAGGAAGATAAATTTGGCAGAACAGGAAGCAGAAAGACCATCATTTGGAAAGTCATAATGCTTATCTAGATGTGGAATGAAAAGAACCAGTGTACACCCTTGTAAAGTAGTGTCAGACATAGTGATTAATGTTATCATAAAATAATTAAGGAATAAAGGAGATAGTAGATTCGAGATGATTCAAAGTTTAAAAGCCTCAGTAACAACAAAGATAGGGAAGTAAGGAAAAGAAAAGATCCAGTTTAATAGATAACTGATTTATTAATAGGGAAGAATATAAAGTATACTAAAAATTTTAAGGTTATAACTCCATCTACTAAAGGACAAAAACCTTAATCCAATACAGAAACAATAATTGCATATCACCCTTAGAGCACCTTTTAGTAACTATAGCCTAAACCTATTTACTCTCATTGAAAACCTCAAATAATTATAAACAATCTCCAAAATAGATACAATTCAAAAACATGTATATTAATTTAATTTAATGAAAATAACAGTTACTCATACTGTGAATTAATTTTGACAGATATTTTCCTAATCAGTAAGTTTAATTACAAAACACTTACCAGGGCCTCCCTGGTGGCACAAGGGCGTTAAGACACAAACTATGAAGCTATCCGCAGCCTCTGCAGCACTGAGTTTGATCCTTGCCCAGGCAGACCCACATGAAGCAGCAGACCTCTCCTGTCTCACCCGCTGCTCCCCTCAGCAGTGTATTTCAGTCAATCTGCTTGTTCTGCTCCCCACTCTGATACTCTGGTGAATCCTCTCACCCCCCACACCTCTGGCCTATACCCCAGTTCTTATATGCATAAGTAAATAAATCTTTTAAAATAAATAAATAAAGGGCCTCCCCTGGTGGCGCAGCGGTTGAGCGCTGGGCTGCAAGGCTGCCCGCCTCTGCAGTGCCGGTTCGATCCCTGGCTGCCGGCGAGGGTCCCACAAAAAATAAATAAATAAGATTAAAAAAAAATAAAAGTAAAAAATAAATAAATAAATAAATAAATAAATAAATAAATAAAACTCATGACTACTTCAAAGCCTAAAGCAGGTAGCACTTGGAATGAAATCCCAAGATATAAAAAATAAAATAAAAACACTTACCAGTAGAACAAGTTGTAATTTGTATCAAACAGAGCACCTGTGCCAGGTTTCCAAGAGCAGAATAGATATTGCCAGTTGTAATATACACAATCCATATCCTGAATTTTAGTGTCCAGATTTCCTAACAAATAAATGAATTGTGAATACTTGGAAGGTATGGTGATGAATCATTTGAGAAATCACCATGCAATTTGATTTCATTTCCTTTCACCTCTCCATTTCATTTAGCAATCAACTTAATCAGGAGCATTTTTTTAAAAAGTTGCAGGAAGCCACTTTACTCTAAGTGGGGAATGCAAAGTCAAAAACCTTTAGGGACTTATATACTGGTACAAGTATACACATATACAAGTATACACATATGCAAAAGTACTAAATTAATCATCCTTGGATGCTCTGAGCAGTTGAGCAAACACTCACATGCATTCTTAGTAATATGACTCCAAAATCTGGAACTATATTGACCAAAAAAGATGTAGGCTTTGCCAAAGGTAGTTGTTGATTTAAAGAATTCAAAAAGGTCAGTTACCTAAAAAGGATTTTATTTTATAACATACTCTATTATACATATAATCTAAAATATAAGAGTTAAAGAACATACTCCCTTTGTGGATTGTTCTGCCAATATTAAATATGAAAAAGAGAGTTTTGTTTTAACCTTGTAGTGATGTCCAGTATGTAGCTTCCGACCATGAACTTTGAACATCTGATCCATTTGTGCATTGTCCTGGCAGAAGTGTGTGAATCTTTGCTTCAATGCCTTTGTTAAGATCAAACCCATCTTTGTAATGTAGATTCTTAGTAATGATGGTCTGTTTGATATAAAAGAGAGAGAAAGAGAGAGAGAGAGAGAGATGAAGTCACACTTGGAAGTAGTGATGCAATGAAAGAAACCATAACTAAAGTGAAAAGAGACCCTACTCAATGATAGAATATATTTTCCCACCAGAGATTGACTAGGGACTGATATCAAAGATCTACAGACAGCTCATACAATGCAACAAATAGAAAACAAATAACCCAATGAAAATATAGGCAGAAGAGCTAAACAGGGACCAAAGTAAACATAGACTGCACACAGACACACGAAAAAATATTCATCATCACTTATCATAAGCGACGCAAATCAAGATCACAATGATATACCATATCACACCTGTGAGAATGACCCATATTGAAAAGACCAGAAACAACAAGTACTGGCAAAGATATGGAGAAAAGGGAATCCTTCTACCCAGCTGGTGAGAATGCAGCCTGGTCTGTCCCTATGGAAAGTTGTATGGAGATGTCTCAAAAGACTAAAAATGGATCGTTCATACAACCCAGTAATTTTATTCCTAGGCATCAACCCCCAAAATTCAAAAATAGTAATTTGGAAGGAAACTTGCACTCCCATGTTTATTGCAGTGCTATTTACAGTAACCAAACTATGCAAACAACTTACATGCTCAAAAACACATGAGTGGATCAAGAAGATGTTGTTTATATACACAATGGAATGTTAAATCTCAGTGACCACAAAAGATAAATTCATGCCATTTGCAGACACATTTATGGAGCTGGAAGGGACTTTGTTAAGTGAAGTAAGTCAGAAAGAGAAAGGTAAATACCAGATGGTGTTGCTAACATGTGGCATATAAAGAAATCAAACTAAGGGTCAGATAAAGACAAGCTTAAAAATTAACCCTTGCAGGGTTAATAGAACTGAAACATCCAGAGTGGAGAGAAGTGGGGAGGTGTAAGAACAAAAAGGGAAGGAAGCACAGTGGACTATGGTGATGGACTATGGGTGATTTGATGGTGGGTGCAATATGGTGGTAATACCAGATATAGGAATCCTAACATTACCTCAATTAATAAATAGTACATAAATAAAAATAGAAGTAGTGGTGGCATCATGACCTATATTAATAAGGCTAAGAAGTCATTAGTACCATGGAGATTTCCTAATATCTGAGAAATTCCTGATGTCTGTTCGATACAATATTCCATATATATTTCTGACAGGTCTCTTTCTATATATCATTTAATTAGAACATTTAAACCTTTAACATTTTATTCAAAGAAACCCAAAAATCTTCTAGAAGTGAAAAATAGGCTCTATCACAGAACTGCAGCTATAACTAACTTGACATTGAAGAGGTAATTTTCACATATCATATGCATATTTGATGACAAATAGTTTATCACCCTTCAATTACCACACAAACTCTTCAGGAGTCATATAAAGTTTAAAATACAGAGAAAGTCAGATAACTTGTAATTTCTAGAGGGACTAAAATCATTTATAATTTATCATTTTATTCCTGATACCTAGAAGAGTGCCTGGCACAAAAAGTGCCTCAATAAATGCTCAATTTGAATTGTTTCTTGAAAATAACTTGCTAAATTAGGAAGGTAACAGAATATCTTGTGCAACAGAAATCTTTAAATGAACATGCTTGTTGATTTTCTAAGTAGTTCATAATTCAATAAATTTGCATTGAGCACTTCCTGTGGTCTGTGGGAAGAGTACAAAGATAAGTAAGTCTGTATTTCTGCAGCGAGAAAGCTCACCAGTCTATACATAAGATCCATGTACAAGTTTATAAGTAACTGTAAAATAGGGCATAATGTGTAAGTACTTGGTAGGTCCATAGGCCATAGAACCAAGTACTTTTTCCCTGTAATTCCCAACTGTCATCTTAATAAATGGGTGGGATTAAAATAGACGTGGCAGGAGATAGCAGCAGACATGACAGCTTGTCATATTTTAATCTTAACTATTGAGATATGGGAATTAGACTGGACACTGACACCAGGAATAAAAAGAAAACTAAATCACTGATATCATAAGTGCATGCTTTACTTACCTTCCAGCTTTCACTATCAATATTTCTATATTTTAATTCATATTCCACTGTGCATTCATCAAAATCATCCAGAGACAATGGAGGTTGCCATTGTAAATAGAGATAACCCAAGTATCCAGGATCCACGATCTCAAAATCCTGAGGAGGATTAACTGAAATAAAATCAATAGAGTATTTTAATTTTTTATGTATCTTATGAGAAGGATTGGTCATCTAGATTATTTCCACATGTCCACAAACTGATGAAAGGAGAAACTCTGGTACATGTATAGAATAGAAAATCATTTAGTCATAAGAACGAAGTACCATTATGCTAAAACATGGACGAACCTTGAAAGAATTATGTTATGTGAAAAAAGACAGTCACAAAAGACCACATATTTTATGAATCAATTTATATGAAATATCAATAATAGGCAAACCCACAGAGACCATTGATTCACGGTTGCCAGGGGCTGCAGTGAAGGGAGAATGAGACATGACTGTTGAATGGATATGGGTTTCTTTTGAGGGGGTGATGTAAATATTCTGTAATTTTATAGTGCTGGTTATTATACAACTTTGTGACTATGCAAAAAACCAGTAACAGGACACTTTAAAAGAGTGAATTTTATGTTAGAAAAATTATATCTCACTAAAACCTGGTAAAATATAGTAAAATATAGCAAATAAAAGTAGATTACTGCTAGTTGTCCCCTTTTTAAGAAATTGAATATGCAAAATGTGACCTTGTCTAGCTATACACTAAATTTTCATAGCAACAAGAAATTTAGCATAGAGTTTATCTCTGTGATCATATAGACCAGAATTTGATTTAGGACACAAACACTTGATTACATAAATCTCTCTAAAAGCAAAAAGCTAATAGTATCGATTCAGTGTTTACTATATGCATATAACATCATGGGACACACAAAAAGGGATAGGAAATAGAAAATATGACCACTATAGCTAAATGCCTTAGGAATTTAGAGAACAGGCAGATCTGGTTGGTACATTCTACTTCACTGATTCCTCTAGTTACAGAGCTAACCCTAGTCTTCGGCAAACTAGAGACACTCTGTCAAAGCACTCAAGAAAAAGTGAGAGGCAACTGAGTAGAGTGACATAGGAAAACAGTCCATGGGGAGGGGAGGAGCAGTGTAAGACAATAGTTCCTTCATATGATGATCTAACACAACAAAACAAGGGGCCTCCCTGGTGGCACAGCGGTTGAGCGCTGGGTTGCGAAGCTGCCCGCAGCCTCTGCAGAGCCGGTTTGATCCCAGGCTGCCTGTGAAGGTCCCACATGGCGTGCAGAGCCCTCCTGCTGCCCGCTGCTCCCCTCAGCAGTGTACTTCGTCAGTCTGCCTGTTCTGTTCCCCGCTCTGGTGAGTTCTCTCACCCTCCCGCGCTTCTAACTGTACCCAGTGCTTGTATAAATAAATAAATAAATCTTTTAAAAAATAAAATAAAACAATAAAACAAGTCTAACAGTTCTACACTTTTCTACTTGCAAGTCTAGAAGTGATAGGGTCTAGGGAGGGGGAGTAGATCGGGTGAGATGCTAAGCTATGCTGGTGTAGTAGGAAACCTGCACATACATATTGCTTATGGCCTCTCTGCTCTGAGTTAACTTTCCAGCCCAAGGACATATCTGCAGGAGTGTGGGGAGCCAGTGCTACCTGCAGACCAGCCTCAGCACAGTGGGAGGAGCCTGAGGCCAGATGTCCAGGAGGGCGATAAGGCGCTCCGAGGGCTGGACATCAAGATCTCTTGGCAGCAGTGAAGGCCAGCTTACTGCTGAACTCTCTTGGTTCAACTCACTATAAAAAGGCAGCTGGAAATGAAATGGGAAGGTGGTTTCTTTCGGGTGTTTACTCCTCATCTTCCAGATTGCCGTCTGTCTGATTAAAGCGCACTTTAAAGATTCAATTCCTGTCTCTACTTTATTGGCATTCGGTGGTGACAGGTGGCCCAAACTCCAGTCTTCCAGTTACAGAAGCACTATAGTGTGCCATCATGTTGCTATTTTGCTAATAATTTCCTCTCATTTCTGCCTGTTGTTCACTTTAATACTTTACATCATAATATTTATTGAGGTGAAGAATCCACAGAAAGGCTTTGTGGCACAAATCCTTATGTGAGGGGCCCCCATGAACATAAGGAAGGTCTCTGTGAGGATGAGATGACAATCCTGTTGTTACAATTTTTATGGTTAGAAATCTTTTGTCAAATGCATTGCTCTGGTACCTTCAGTAATAAGAGTTCATGAGATATAGTCTAATAATTCTGTTATAATTTTAAAATTTAAATTTCTGTATATACTTTTTATTTATCTAATTGTCTTAGACATTGAGAACAATAACTAAGGAATGTTTCCAGTTACTTAGGTACCAGGCAATGAGTTTTCAGATAATTAACCTACTTATTAGAAAAGACAGTACAAAATGTAATGAAAGTGCCTTAATTTGACTTTTATCCCACCAAATGCTTGTTTTTTATCAGCTACCTTATACATGAGAAAAATTAATAAGAATGTATCTTTTCTGAAATGTTTTCAGTAACAAGCCAACTACTTGTTATACTCATTCAGAAAGTAGGTTGAAAAGACAGTTACCTTTAATTTTAAAACTATTCTATTGTTGGTTTACCTTTTATCTCAGCGTTTGAAGACAAAGTAGAACCATAGGCTGTGCAAATAACAAGGGTATATAGGCATCCAATAACAATACGAATGAGTGCCATTTCTTGGAGACAATACTTAGGAATTTCCACTCTGAGAAGGAAAAACATAACATTTTAACCAAATGACTAAATGTCACTAAAGTACAATTCTTCTGTGTCCTTTCAACCAAGAATTGGGGAAACTGTGTTCCTTTGAACCCTGGAAATAGAAAAAAAAAGTCAAGTTTGGAGTCAATATAACTTGAAAGGGATGATTTTGCCTCATTCTTCCTATAAGGCTAAAAACAAAGTAAAACAAACACCTGTATTCTTCCATCACTCCCGAACCCTCTACACACACAAACGTCCCTACACACCATATGCACACTAAGGATAGGATGGCTGCAAGCAGTTTTTAGCCTGAAGATTGAGCCACACCCACCAAAATGCTTATTTGCTCACAGGGGAAGTTATGACATCATTAGTCTCCATGGCAACCCTCTCCCCAGCAACAGACAAGACACTGATGTATACATATACACATTTTTGAGATAAAAAGTATTGAGTTATCTGACTGCTGAGAAAGCTTCAAATCTACACCAAATCCTCAGATAAAACAGAATGTCCCCCATTTCTTCATTAATATTAAATCATCTTCTACTTTAGCATCTGTTCTATTCTTCCCCGTGTTTCCTATATCAGTAAAATCACCATCTTCCCTGTTGCCCAAACCAGAAACCTGGGAGTCTTCCTCAACTCCTCTGTCTCCCATTCAATCACTTCATTATCATTACCACTGCCTAAGTCGAGGGTCTTATCATCGGGGATCTATTTATCCAGTCTTTCCTACCTCCAAACCTTTCTCCACACCACATATAGCAAGCACAAATTTTCCAAAGAATAAATCTGAACTTATCACCCCTTTCTTAAAATGACAACAGTATTTCATTGCCGTGGAATGTAGCCATATTTCCCCCCAACCTGTAGCTTAAACGTTTTGTTAGAAAAGCTAAAGTAAGCAGAATCAAATAATAAGCACTTTTTCTTCTTTTCCCTCAATCCACCCTCCGTGCACCTCCCAATGTTGATAACACAAGGACAAGCATGTGCTGGCTTTTAAAGGCTGTTAACCACAAAGGAACACTTTCTGCTGAAGAAGATAAATATTGTTACTCCTGAGGCCTACACTGTCCAGCACCTCCTCAGTGGGAATGGAAAGCCCTTTACCCCCTTCATGGCCAACAACTCCTCACATTTCTTTCCATTCCCATATAATCATAACAATGCTGACATTTGAAAACCTGGATTCTTTTTCGGGTATTAAACTACAGACTCCCTTGGTGGCCATATTGTATAATAAACTCCTTTGTGCAAAGACATCCTGATGGTTCAGAGTTTGCCTTCCTGGGTGGCAAACAAAAGACCAGTTTGGTTGTTTACAAGAATTTCATCATTTTATTCTTGAAGAATATCGGCTTTATGATCAAAACAAAGGACTCATATCCTCAGTCTAAAAATACTCTCAAGGAAAAATCACTGTTCTGAGCTCTACTGTCTCTTTTAGTCTACATTACTGGAACCAACAATTTCACAGGAAGTTAAGGATTAAAAGTTATTTACCCCAATATTCCAAGAGTATCTTTTTGTCTCCTGCATAAGTTAATTAAGCAGGACATGAAACAGGGGCGGTCAGGGCAGGAGAATGGGATACCAAGATATGTCAGAATGACTACCCACTGGCCCAGGCTCTAAGACAAGAGAGCTATCAAAAAAGCCCTAAAAGACCAAAAACCAAAACCAAGGGCTATAGCAATACAATGTACAGGGGCCTATGGGCGATAGCCGAACAAAGGACAGTGCCTGATAAGAGGACAGGTTACTCCCTGTGGGTTCTCACCCATACGCACAATTGCAAGGACCTCAAGCTCTGGGAATAACAACTATGGGGTTTATTTTAAAACAGAGGAAACAAAGAGCTTACGAGAGCCACAAATGGTGCTACTTCACCCAGGTAGCATCCACTAAAAGTACAATCAGAGTACCAGTCACTGTTACCAGCATGCCAGACAGCCCTGGACAGCAGTGATGGTCACTGATGGTCTCTCTGAGGCCATGTCAGAGACACCAAATGTTATCAACACATTTTGACTCCAGGCCCAGAGACTTTGGCGCTCCTTTTAGGCAATGTCAGAGACAGGACAGAAGGCCCAGTCTCTGACAGAGGTCTTCAGCTTCCTTTCCCTTCTGGGAGGTGGGCTGCTGGATGCTTCTTTTCCTTTTCTTTCAGCTTCTGGTACTTCTTCTTTCTTCAGAGGCTGGAACAGTCTGTTTTGTTTTGTTTTGTTTTGTTTTTTATAGATCATAGGACTTTATTAAGATGGAATACTGTTAATTACACAGACTACTGTGTAAGCTCAAATCCACAAGTTTCACATGAACTACACAAATAAGAACTAAATGGCATGTTCAAAATCATGTTCAAAATCATAAGGAATTATCCTGATGCCCCGGTGACGAAAGCTGGGGCGAATAAGGCTGCACATTTACTTCAAGCTGGTAAAGAGTTTGTGGGCCACACAGTGGTCCCTTGCATGCAAGAGGTCAAAGAGCTCCTCAGTGCAATCCTCCTCTGTGATCGGGAGGATACACGCTCATCACAGAGCTCTAGTCGCTCCCGAGCCTTTACACATTTCTCTAGCTGCTCGCAATGTTCTCTCATTGTTGTCAGGGGATCCACTAATTCCTCCTCCGCTTCCTCCTCCTTGGGATCTCCGGACCCGGTTAGCATCTTTTGCTCGTCCTCCAGCCCGTGTCTGGCTACGTTTCTGAATTCAAGCCGAGCAGCAACAGCGGTAGCTACTCCGCTTCAGAACCAAGAAGTGGAACACTCTGTTTTAAAGCTTGTACAGAGAGTCTTTCCCAGCTCCCTGTGACACTGGCTTATATCTTCTTTCAGGGTGCCACACCCACAAGTCTGATTGGACCATTTTTTTCCCAATACTGTGGCTGATTGGCCCATTTAGCACTAATCAGCTCATAGCTCACACCTGATTGGTCCATTCCACAATCCGGGAAGTAAAGGCAGTTACTGGGCTCTGACTACCAATTGCTCCAACTGACTTATGGTGGAGCAGCAGGGCAAGAGATCACCACTTCTACTGCCAGCTCCCATTGCTGAGGCGGCTGGGTTCCAGTAACAGACAGGCCCTCTTTCCTTGTCCCATCCTCTTCATCCTACCTGGTCCATCTGTAATATTCTAATGTTGGTAGGCTTCAATTATTACATAGAAGAATTTTCGTATCAAACTTTTAGAGCCAGAAGGCATATTGGAGAAAATGCTAGTCCAATCCTTCTTTATATATTTGGAAGTAAAACTCAGACTTGCTCAAGATTACACAGCAAGTTAGTAAGAGAGCTGGAAGTAGGACAGAAGTCATTCCCAATTCAGTGTACTTCCAATCAACTATGCTACATGTTTCACTCAGGATTACAGAACTTTTCTCTGGAAGTCCAGCATATAAGTTAGCTAGCCATGTTGAATCAATAGCATGAAATTTTTTCTTAGCCTTATAAAATCATAAAAGAATGCCATTTCTATTAGTGAAGTACAATAAACCTCTCTCCCAAATTCCTCCTTCCCTACTTGCCAGCTCATTGCTGCCCTCCAAAGGAATTTTATGTAGTACAAAGATTTGGTCAACACAAGGCCACAGATTTCCACAGAGCTGCTCCCACAGAATGAGATGAATACACCAGTTAATTTTGGATTCATGGCAATAGGTCTGACAAAGAGAAACTTTTTCATATTACCTATAAAGACTAGCACAATCAGGTTTCCCTTAAAAAGCTTTCGGATCTTAATAAAGTTCTCCTCCATCTATCCTTAAATATTTCATAGTTTTTGTCATTTGCAGCATAAATGTTAAGAGTCAAATCACTTGCTTCTATTCTACATGTAGGCTACTGAAATTTGATTCAAGCTATCAAATAGCATTTCCTGAATCAATCCAACACATTTAAGCAAAGGTATGAAACTGGATAGCTGGCTTTCTGAATTATTTAATCTACAAACCCATGAAGGGATTTCCTTAATTACATCTAGGATCACGTAGACTTTCTTTCCCAAAATGAACATGAAAACAATTCTTTCCTTGGCTTCTGGGTTACAGGATTGTCACTTGTGCAATGCAGTACTTTATATACTATATGGTTACTAGGAAGGATAGGATTTTTCACAAGGGAAGAAAGGGCCTGAAGATAAAAGGAAGAAGGTAGATGGAAATTAGACTGGCAAGATTTTAAAAGGCTTCTGATATATTCCCTACCCTCCAGCCCACAATCAACAACCGCTCATCAGTTATTAACTCCTTAATTTTTAAAATGAGAAAATACCCAGAGAAGCTAAGTTGCTCAAGCTCACAGAACTTATTGGCAACAGAAATAGGAACTGAAAAAAAAATGAGCTCTCGAGCACTTTCTACTGACCAGCAAGTAAGTGTTTTTGTTCTACGTTATCCATCCTGTATGTATTTTACCTGAAGCCTCCCTCTGAACCTCTCTCTACTTACTGTCACCATCCACGTCATCAATCCCACCACACAGTTTTATCCTCATGATGTATCTACAGAGTAGCAGTTTAATAAACTTTCATTGAAAACCTATTTTTTCAAATACTATGCCAGCTAAACCTTTTCTAAGGAACAATATAAAAATGACAAGTGATATTATCAGTAGCAATGAAGATGGGCCCTCCCCGGTGGCGCAGCGGGTTGAGCGTCACGCTGTGAAGCTGTGAGCAGCCTCTGCAGTGGAGGCTGCCAGGCTGGCCAGCCAGGGCGAAACCCACATGGCGAGGCAGACCTCTCCTGTCTTGCCTGCTGCTCCCCTCAGCAGTGTATTTCAGTAGATCCGCCTGTTCTATTCCCCACTCTGTCTCTGGTGAATCCTCTCACCCCCTGCATCTCGGGCCTGTACCCCAGCTCTTGTGTGCATAAATAAATAAATCTTTAAAAAAAATGAAGATGATGATGATAAAACCTACTATTTATTCAGCATTCACAGCATCCCAGGTACTGCCCCATGCGAAGTACTTTACATACATTATCTCATAA